TATGAGGAAGGGGAGGAAAGGCATGGAACATGCTGGAAGAAAGCCAGAGAGTTAAATCTGATGGACACCTGGGCACTCCTAAGGGACCATTAGGAGCCAAGCTGAAGATAGTGACGGGGCCAGACAGTGGAGCCCTGATGGCTGGCTATGGCTAGGTATGGCTGCCTCAGTGTTCACCTCCGTAAAATGGAGAGACTCTGTCTATGCTGTCTTCCCCGGGAAGTGTTGGTGTGACAAGAAATAAAGTCATATATGAAAAAGTGATTGGGAGCCAAGAAGTTGGGTTGAATTGGGTGAACAGATGGAGACCTTCAAAGTCCTCCTTGTCCATCCTCCTGTCTCGGGGCCGTCCTGCTCCTAACAGAACTCTTCCTGAAGAGGCAGCAAGTCCTGCCCCAGGCCTGGCCCCTGACTCCCCGTTGGTGGAGGGCGGGGGGTGTTGGTGTGTTGGTTCTCATGCTTCTCTCCCTCCCTCCCCCACAGCTGCTATTCCTGACTGGCCTCTTGCTCATCATCGGCCTGAGGAAGACCTTTTCCTTCTTCTTCCAGAGGCACAAGCTCAAAGGGACCAGCTTCTTCCTGGGGGGTGTGGTCATTGTGCTCCTGCGCTGGCCCCTTCTGGGCATGTTCCTGGAAACCTATGGATTCCTTAGCCTCTTCAAGTGAGTGCGGGTCTCTTTCCCCTGGATGAGCCCACCAGGGCCTCTGAGCAGCTGAGATCACCCTGCCAGGTTTGGCCAGCACGACCTACAGGGTATGCAGACACAGGGATGCTATCCCGCGGATGGGAGCCACGGAAGGACTGAAAAGGCAGATGGGCATCAGGCAGACACTTGGAAGTTCCCTCCAACAGTAGGACGAAGGACAAATTGGAGGGATTGGCCCATCCACCTGCAAACATTGAGCACCTGCTGTGTGCCCGGCCCTAGGCCTGCCCTTAAGGAGGAGACACAGGGCCTGCCTTCAACTTGAAGAATCCAGCAGGGAGGAGGGGCAGTGAACTAGCATTTGCCTGGCCCCTCATATGCCCCTAGCACGTTCACAGTCGTCACCTCACTTTATCGTCTTTACAACCCACTGCAGGATTGCTCTCTGCAGATGAGGAAACCAGATCTGAGAGGCTGCCCCCCCTCCCCCCACCCGCCGGAGGTCTCACGCTGCTGGCCTCATGTCCTTCGGCCTGTCCAGTGTCAGCCTGGCCTGCTGAAAGGTGGGGTGGAAGTCAGCGAAGATGTGTGGCCACTGCCAAGGCCAGGGAGGTGTCCAGGGCAGGGAGGGCCTGTCCTGAGACAGGCCGTGGGGACAGGCAAGCTTTAAGAGGAGACTGGGGGGTGCTTAAGGAGCAGAAACAAAGGATGTCGGGAAGGTGGGGCTAGAGAGGGAGGATGCCTATTGTCTCTGGGACACTGGAGGACAGTGGTGGGATGGAGAAGACGGGCTGGAAGAAGCATGGCTTATGCACTCACCGGAAGGAGCCGGGGCCAGGACCCCGACTTCTCATAAAGCCCTCCGTTTGCCCAGTGCAGCCTTGAAAACACTTTGATTAGCCTGAATGGCCCAGACCTCCTAGACATCATATAATGTAGCTTCGAGAAACTAAATTTTCCCACACGCACTCTGCCACCCACTTGTTTAACATCCAGACATGTCACTATTCAAACAGCCACTTATTCAAATAGTCAAAAACACAAAAAGTACCTACTGCGTGCCAAATACAGAGCTAGGTGGGGGGATGTGGCACTCAACAGGGAGAAACTTCCCGAGGACCTCGCAACCTAGTCGAGAAGAAAAATTCTGACGACAGTGACCATTTATTGAGGGATTAGAAGGGTGAGTGGGGCCACTGCAGATTCAGTAGCTCCAACCAAACGTAAACCTTGACAAAGACCCCTTGCAACAGCATTGGGGGGGGGGGGGGGCGAGAAAACCAAAATCAGAGCTCTAAGGGACGTCAGAGATGTCGGTGAGCCTCGGGGAAATGGGGCCCCGGGAGAGGAAATGGCTCAGCCAGCATTCAAATGTCTAACCCCCTCGCCTCTCCACACACACAGGGCTCCCCCCCGCCCCCGACGCCAACCTCAGTGTTTCCAAGCCCTTTGAACGATGGTGCACATGTGCCCAGCCAGACCTTGCCACGGTGTGTTTGACAAGAGTGGGGAAGCCAAGGGCAAAGGGTGGCTCCACGCGTGGGCACCACGCCAAGGCACCAGGGAAAACACCCATGAGCACGGCCGCCAGCAGCTACCCATGCGGGGGCCCAGGAAATCTGAAGCAGGCAGCACCCACCCAGTCCAGGGAGGAGAAGACAGTAACAATGATACAAACGCTTCTTTTCTTAAAAAAATTTTTTAATGGGAGGGAGAGAATCCCAAGCAGGCTTCGCGCTTTCTCAGCGCAGAGCCCAACACGGGGCTCAAACTCACCGACCGTGAGATCGCGACCCACACCGGATGCTTAAACAACCGAGCCGCCCAGGTGCCCCCAAACAAACACTTCTTGAACATTTCTTTGCGGAAGGCCCTATGGTGTAGATACTATTATTAACCTCATTTACAACTGGGAACTGAGATTCAGAGAAGTTGAGGAATTTTGCCCCAAGTTTATACAGCACGAGCAAGTGGCAGAGCCCAGATTTGAACCCAAGGAGCCTGGCCCCCGCCCCTTTATTCTTAACCACTTCACATGGTTGCCTCCCCAAACCCAGGGGGTGCAGAACCAAGCCTGCCCCCAGTGCCCAAGGGCCCGCTTTCTGGGGAACCAAAGCTGGAGCCTTTGGGTGGATCTCGCCCCAGGCCATCGCTGACCCCTCCCCCCACCTCTGCTCCTAGGGGCTTTTTTCCTGTTGTCTTTGGCTTCCTGGGCAATGCCTCTGACATCCCCTTCCTGAGTGCGGTAAGTAGATTATGCATGTGGCTTGGTGATAATGCCTTGGGGTGAGGGGCCCTGGTGAGACTGCTGCCCCAGTGCAATGGAGCCTTCCCGTCTCCCCTCAAGCCCCTTTCCCCTCAACTCCTCTCCCCATCCCCACACCTTCTCCATTTGACAAGAGCAGATGAGGAGAGGGCACCCGGGAGCATTGTGCCTAAGGCGTAGGTATTGAGGCAAGTGGCTATTCATAGCTCCTTATTAGAGCCAAAGAAACAGATTCAGAGAGTCTAGGTGACCCAGCCAGAAAGTGCCAGAGATTTCTGGGGAGCTGGCTGAGTCTGGGCCCCAGGCATGGAGAGCGTGTGTGACAGCCAGTGACAACAGAAGCTGGTGGCCGATCCTGTCCTCTCCTGGAGGCACGCAGGGGGCAGCGGTCCCCAGCCCCTGCCCCTCCCTTTCTCTAAAGCATATTTTCTGACAGAATAGGAGCTGAGAAGCTTAGGGAGGCCCTACAGCCAGCTGGCTCATCCCCGTGGCCCCCTCTCCCGATCTGTACTCAAGGCCCAGCTCTCAAGGCCCGCTCCACAATAACCTAGATATGGAGTGTGCTGCTCACTCTTTGTCTGAAGTAATGATTCTTGGCTCCCACAGCTGTTCCGGAGGCTTCAAGGCACCAGCTCAATGGTCTGAACAGCAGAGACGAGCTCCTTGAACTTGGATCATTGGTTGAGGGGGCTGGAAAGGAAGTGGGGGCTGCCTCCACCCTGCAGTGACTCATCTCCCCATCATCCCCAGCCCTCTCCAAGTCCAGAAGGAAGAACAGAGTTGAATGACTGACCTCAGATTCCAAGTCAACTCAAAAGGCTGTTGACATGGCTGCGGACAGAGATCCGGGGCCCCACCACGATCAGACTGGGGCTGATATTACATCCTGCCCTGTATTTATGGGAGGAGAGCGAAGATTAAATCCCCAGTCTGTGAGTGTGTCTGAGACTCAGAGTCACTGTCTCTAGCCTGTCAAGTCCAGTCCCTGACTCAGGGCAGGCCGACACATACAGCATTCCACTGAGCGAGGGGCAGGCCTGCTCTCGTAGCCTATCATTTTTATCCTTGTGGTTAATGGCCCTAATGAGTGAGATAATATGTCTGTAAACCCCTGTTAGCAGTAGGCATTAGACCAGTGATGGGTATCAGCCTGCGTGCTGGTGGGAAATGCTACTCAACCATTAATTAGGCGGCTGCCTGCATGGCACACCCTTCAGGTAGCGCCTGGGCTCAGAGAGCTTCTCGTCTGAGGGCGGAGACATAGCCCCTGCCTTCAGAGAGCCCAAGCCTGATAGAAGGGATGTTCTCTGTCCTGGGGAGCCCCTCGGCCAAGGGTAAAGAGCATTCTTGCAGGCCCAGGAGGGAGACCAGAGTCCCTTGCAATGCATACATCTAGTAAATACATAGATGCATTTGCATACATAGATGTAGATGTAAATGCATCTACATAGATGTAAATGCATACATCTAGTAAATATCCATGAGGGCCCCCTGTGTCTACACCGAGCACTGGAGTAGATGCTCAGGGTGCAAAGGGGAGCCCTGTCGCTGCCTCCAAACACCGCGATTACAAAGCCATGGGATGGTGAGGTGTGGAGGGGAGCCCACGAGCAGCATCTTCAGATGCTGTACTTGCAAATCACCCGTCTGGATTCCCTTGGCACTTCCCAGGTATGCTCACCTTCTAGATTTTCTCTCTTCCGCCCCCTTTCTCCTGCTCCTTCACACTGGGTGTGCTTGTACTTCCTGTCTAGAGGGCAGGGTCCCCCCCTCCCCCTCACATAGCCCATTTCCATGTCATTTGGGGCATAATGGGTCTCCAGCTGAGTGGGTCTGGGGTGTAGGGGGTGAGGAGGATGGAAGGAAGAGTGGGAATCAGAAAGCCAGCCTTGGAGGGCTTCTGGAGGGGGACAAAGAGGCTGCTTTCAGTGCTGAGAGCCAGGCGGTGGGAGACAGCAAACGCTGTGCTCTCTGAGGGGTCTGAGGGCGGGGAGGAGGCAGAGGTGGGCCTATGCCTGGAGACAAGACGTCACCCCAGGCTTTATAAAAGGGACGCGATCAGGGCACTGATGAGGGTGAGCCCTGGAGCCCAGCTCCCCTCTCTGTGCGTGTTCATCAACCCAAGAAGCACCTGGAGACCCACGGAGCTGCCACCCGGCCGGACAGAGCCAAGGTAGGTGCCCAGGGGCATCCACACGTGGAGAGGGGTCTGCCCAGCCCCAGGCAGGCTCCAGAGGTGGGAGCAGGAATTTAGTTCCAAGAGCGACAGTTGCAGCCCAGACAGGCAAAGGGGATGCTGATCTTTCCTGATTATCAGGTTGGCCAGATTATTCTGGGATTAGTCAGTGAATACCCTGACTCAAATTTATGAAACCAGGACCTTGGGGATCCCTTACAGTGGAAGGAATAGGAACAGTGAGTGAGTTCTGGCTGGGATGAGAGGCCACGGGAGCTTTTGGAGGGAGCTAGGGAAGCCCTCAGGGCTCGTGGGCTCCACAGGTCTCCTCCAAGCAGCTCTCCCAACTTCCGGATGGCAAGTACAAACCTAACCCAAGAGCCCCTTTGCACCCTGCTAGCCACCTGCACCAAGAACCGGGGGTCACCCCAGGAAGGAAGCCACCTCACTTCAAAAGCTTTCCTACCACACCTGGAATCTTTTACTGATTAGGTACATAGCCTGTGGTGGGGGCACAGAAATTGCCTACAGCAGGTCAACCTCTCCAGGCCCTGTGAAAGCTGATGGTTCTTTTCCAAACAATTCAACTCTACTATGTTCAATGCCCCTGTGCTGCCTGGGTGGGGAGAGGAACGTGCCACGGTGGTATCTATAATGGGGAGGAGGCGCTACGGGGTGCCAGGAGCTTGGAAGAAGGTACACTAGCCTTCTAACCATACGCCTGCCCACCCCTCACCTTCCCCACTCACCACACTGCCTGCGCATAGCAGCCGGAATGCTTCATCTGAAATGCAACACACACGCATTCCCCCTTCGGGCTCAGCCTACACTGGGATGAAGGCCCCCGTCCCGTGCCCCTTCTCCACCCTCACCAGTCTGTCTCTCCAGGCAAGCTCTGTCGAGGACCTGTGGTCCCGTCCACGCCTGGCCCCTGCTGGCCAGCTCCAGCGCCCCCTGATGGAAATGACTTCCTTAATCCTGTATTCACGCAGCTGACCAGTGCTCAGAAACAGCCGTGGTGCCACCCCCTGTGGCAAACCCGCCTGCCCCCCATCCAGGATAAGCCCCCACAGCTCCCTGGGTACCCACATGCCGCCAGCCTGTCATTTCTGGTGTTATTTTGAAGTGGTCAGCTAAGACGACTCAACTTCTTGAGCTAGGTTCTTGGGGGAGGAGCTGGGAACAAGCACCCTGTGTCTTAGCACATCTGTGCACCCCTAGCACCTAGCACAGCACCTAGTTCAGGAATGATCTCTGTACTAACCTGGGCTGTGTGCATCCATGGTCTGAAGCCACAAAAGAAATGGTTGACCCTGCTCTAATGAACTGATCCTGCCTCTCCTCCATACCCACCCGGGGCTTAAAGCAGGTGCAGAAAACTTGTCTGGATTTCAGAGTGTCACAGCATCAAAGTCTGCAAGGAAAAGCGACTATCTGAGGGGATAGTTGGTGTCCAGTCTGATGCAATGCTCTTACTTCACAGAGAGGCAAAATGGTCCTGAAATGGGGGTGACTTACATCCCACAGGGAGGGGGGCAGAGCTGGAGCCAGGTTTGAATGTGTTTTCTTTTAATGTTTATTTTTGAAAGAAACAGAGCATGAGCGGGGAAGGGGCAGAGAGGCAGGGAGACACAGAATCGGAAGCAGGCTCCAGGCTCTGAGCTGTCAGCACAGAGCCTGAGGTAGGGCTCAAATTCATGAACTGCGAGATCATGACCTGAGCCGAAATTGGACACTCAACTGAGCCACCCAGGCGCCTCAGGTTTGAGCGTTCTTGATCCCATTTCAGGAGTCTTCCTATCTGCCCCGTGTCCAGATCCTGGAGGCTGCAGGGTGGGGGATGGGGGCAAGAACAAAGGGGTAGACCATGCTAAGCAACCATTCTTTAGCAGCTGATGGGCGCCAGTGATAGCCCTGCCCCTCCCACTTGCCCCCCTGAACCACGGCGGCTCCAGTGGACACACTTTTTGTCCATCCCTTTGACCTGCCTCCCCATTAGTTTGTCTTTAATCATGCTTGTTGGACAATACCAAAGTGCTGATGACTTTTTTTTTTTTTTTTAATGAGTATTTATTTTGAGAAAGAGAGCAAAAGCAGGGGAGGGGCAGAGAGATAGGGAGACAGAATCCCAAGCAGGCTCCAAGCTGCATCAATGCAGGGCTCAATCTCACAAACCATAAGATCATGACTTGAGCTGAAACCAAGAGTTGGATGTTTAATCAACTGAGCCACCCAGGCGCCCCTCCCCCCCCCCATGACTTTTTCAAACAGAAATTCAACTCGGGGGCTGCAAGAGCTGGGGTGGGGGTGGGAGGCTGAGAGGGTAAAGGCAAAGGGGGTGAAGTGTGGGTCAGGGTACGCAGCCCCCACCCCAGCAGCCGAAACCACGAGGTCAATTGAGTGCATATCCTCTTGGAGCCCACAAAGACTAGAAAAAGGTGGCACTGACCTGATACATCAGGGAAAGTTTTTTCTCTTCCCTGTATTACAGGCAATAAGACAATTTAATGACAGTCCTCAGGTCTGCGAAGGGTTATGAGAGATAATGAGATGATTGCCTCTTTCTTACTTTTCTTCTTGGAAAAGGAAAAGAAGAAAGTCTCTGCTGCAGCAGGAGGGAACTGGGCCAGGTTTGGGAAGTTGCAGTCTAACGGGAGAGTCGGGCCCAGGAAGTGGAGGGTTTCTGCAGAACCCAGCGGGGAGCTCCCAGGCTCCAGAGGATGTCTGGACCTCAGTGCCCTCCACTCAGTGAAACTCCTTGCCCTGCTTCGCTTCACCCCTCCCTCCTGGGTGCCACACACGCCCTCCCCCCCCCCCCCCCCCCCCCGCCTCCAGGGCTTTCCTCTTCACACTGGGCAGCACCCTGCCCATGCCCTGTGCCTGACCTAGTCTCCCCTCCTTCCTTCTATCTCAGCCTCAGGGCACTGTCAGGTCCTGTCTTCTCACCAGGATGAACTCGCTGGTTTCTTGGCAGCTGATGCTTTTCCTCTGTGCCACCTCCTTCAGGGAGACATTTGAAAAGGTGGCACCCGTGGAGAATCCTCTATCTACAGGTATGCGTGGTATGGGAAGAAGGGCGGGGCAGGGCGGGGACGGGGTGGGGGGTGCACATGAGTTGTCGTAAAATAAGAGTTACCATGGTTCTCAGATTAAAGCTAGCCTATCAATGTGACTTAAACGCTGCCTCTAATGAGAACCTAAGACTAGCACATGCCATTCATTTAGGGGCCGCATCAATCTTGCAAGCAAGGGATGTCTTACTGCTGTTATGGGCATCCGAGGCTGACCCCGGTCAACCACTGAGCTCCTCCTCACGTGTGTTCTCTGCTCTATGCCAACCACCTGTCTGAGCAGATCCATTGGGAAGGAATGTACTATGCAAGCTTTTCTGATCAGTGATCTCAGACCCTGTATGGGGAATTTGGGGGGAAAAAAAAGACCTAAGCAAAAGGACAGGTTGTTAATATCTGTCAACCTTATGAGTTCACTGTGCAACTGATTAGCTGGAGAAACGGAGGCCCAAAGAGGCAAAGAAAACCCCGGAAGTCAATCAAATGCTGCAACAGCCCTGCAGGTGCAGGAACTGCCAAGAGTGTGCCTCTGAGCGGCACGAGCTAGTCCCCGGAACAGGAGTTGGGGGTTTAACACTGCTTGGTGGTCAGTTTCCTGGGCACATGAGATGCGGCTTGACCTCTCCGGCCTGTGGTAGTTCTCTAGCCATGGAACTTGGAGCGTCCCCTGTACACGTGTGATATCACTGCGCCCATAAGATATCCCAGAGCAAAGAGAAGATGGCCCGGGTGCCCTTGGCCAACAGTGTCTTCTCTCCTGGGATCCATGTGTTCTTTCTGGGTGAGGGAGGCTCCCCCAGAGAATAACCTCACCTCTTTCCCCCAGGGACATTGACCTGTTGACTCTTTTTGGCAAGTGGCTCTAAGTGAGGCCACACACAGTAGCCTGAGCAGTAATCCTACTGCAGGGATGATGGGTGTCACTGGGAAGAAAGCCATCATCCCTCCCTGCCTCAGCCAGGCCCTAAGCAAGGCGGGAGGGGCCTTCTAGGAAGATTAGCATTAACTCTGAACCACACCCACACTCCTCTCCTCCAAAGTATGCCAAGGCATTGAGGAGCAGGGCTCAAAGCCAACTACCCCCCCCAACACACCCACTCACACACCAGGCCTCATTTCCACTAATCTCGTGCCACAATTGGCTGGGGTTCCTGTCTACTCAGAGCTAGTTGCACTATTTTACTGCCAAAAATTACAGTGAATTTAACAAGCCTTGCATGTGAAGTGCCTTCCTAATTAGCCTTGTTAGCCCTCAGTGTGAAGGGAAGAGATTATATCTGGGGAGGCAGGGGTGAGCAGGTGAAGGTGACCCAGATAATTTCTCATTCTTCACTGAGCCCTTATGCAGCTTATTAGGGGGGTCACACTAACTGGGGGACAGGTGTGGGGCACAGTGGTCCTAGCTCTACCCTTGTTTTTGTTAACTACAGACTTTTCATTTGCTCTTATATATTGAACAAGCATTTGAAGCCCTACTACGTATAGACGCAGATCACTGTTTCAAGCACTCAGAGAACTGAATGAACACAGCTCCCACCCGCCCCAAGGAGCTCAGTCCAGTGGGGGAGCCTGAGACAGAGACAAGACAGAGGGCCAGGCAGTGAGCCAAGAAATGCCCAACTTGAGTGTCCAACAAATACTGCAGGCTTATTTCCAAGCTCTATCCTGTTTGCTTCCGAAAAGGAAGTGATTTAATACAAAAGACATTTAAGATCATTCCCGAAACCATTTGAAACCAAAGCTATGTTGAAAGAGGAGCCAGTGACCTAACCCCCTGGGGGGCTAAGATGGTCTGCATTGGGCTCTGGGCTTCCTAGAGGTCCAGGAATGAAAGGGACCAGGAACTACGAGAGGGAAGCACAGGCTAGGGGTGGGAGCAGGTGTTCCAAAGCCTTCTCTCCTGGCCTCACCTCAACCTCTCCCTGTGGTTCTGCCCTAGGCCAGCGGCTCGAATCCCAGGCCCTCCTGGCCCCGTGGGAGCAGAGCCCGCGATGCGCGGAGAGAAAGCCCGCCGGGGCCCAGCCCAACGCGCGGGGGGCCTCGCTGTGCCCTCCTCCCGAGAGTGCCGCGGGGCCCCAGCGGCCAGGCCTGGGCGCCCCCCGCAGCCGCCTGATCCCCGCCCCGCGGGGCGCGGTGCTGGTTCAGCGGGAGAAGGACCTGTCCACCTACAACTGGAACTCCTTCGGCCTGCGCTACGGGAAGCGGCAGACCGCGCCTCCCGGAAGCGACCGCGGGGGGCGCTGCGCTTGGCTGAGCGCCAGGTGCGGGATGGGGGCGGGGGCATGAATTTCAAACCCCAGACTAGGCGTCTGAGCTGGGGGTGGGGGGTGGAGGGTAGGGCAGTGGGAGGGGGACTGGGGCTTCTGTCCTGAAACAATAAAGGAAATGCTGCCCAAACATCCTGAGTGCGATTTGTGGCTAATTTTTGCAAGCAGCGCTGATTAGTTTTCCCTCGCTCCTCAACTGGATTTTTACTGGTTTTAAGATGACTTTAGTCTTATCAAGCTCAGTGCTTTTCAAACTAGAGATATGAAGAACCAGATTGTTTTTCCCCAGTCTGGGGCAGATCACTACTTAAAACACACACACACACACGCGATGAATCGCTGAAAAATTTTAAAATTTTAAAAATAAAGAGAAACCGGAACTGGTTGCTGCTTCAGTGTTTCGGCAACATCAAATTTCTATTAAAATTGCTGCAGCTGTCCTCTTAATTCCTAGACTTAGCTCATTGCCTGCAGGTGACAACATTTCGCAGAGGGGCACGAGCCATGGCCCACACTCTGAGTAGCACTGATCTAGGCCAGGGGAGGACGGCTGAAGCATCTCCTCCTTTCCCAGGGAAGTTTACAGCCAGTTGGACAGCTTGATCTGGAAAATGATGCCAACCACTACCCTTTCCACTGAAGCTTAAAGATCACTCCAGCACCCCCCCCCCCCCCCCCCCCCCCAGACCTCTGCTGGGGCGCTCAGCCTCAAGGCACTGAAGTCTGCATGCAAGAGTGGCCTGGGCCACCCATCCCCCTCCCCCAGGGAAAGCCCTGGATGCGGCCAGTTCTCTACCTGCATCACTTTTCTGCATCCTTGTAACCACCGAGGGCACTGGGCATGCAGTATCCCCACTTTCAGGTGAGAACCCTGAGGTTCAGAAAGATACATAACTCACTGAAGGCCTGCAGCCAATGAATGGTGAGCCTAATCAGTCTCCAGACAGCACCTGGCCCCCACTTCATGCCGGGAAGGGTTTCCAACTGAGTCAGCCTTGGTGGACATCGAGAAAGGTCAGTCTGCCCTATGGGGACCTTCTTGGAGGCCCCCCAACAGCTGGGGAGTTGGTTTCTGTAGTAAGAAGTAGAGGCTTGTCAGTAGGGAAACTGACAGGAAATCCACACCCTTCTGCCTGCAAGAAAAGCCAGCCCTTTCTGACAGCCTCTGGAGGCTCCTACCCTGCCTGGCCTAGGATGGAAATGCTCTTTCCCAGAAGGACTACGGGGCCACCACCATCCTGAGAAGTGCCACAGCGTTCCACCCATTACAGAAACGAGGACTCCACTGAATGGAGGGCGAACGTGTTGCCATGGCAATGAGACAGGCTGCCATGGGAACACGACAACCTGCCCCACCCCCATCTCTACCCTGAAACCATCTTCCAGGATCTTTCAAATTATCGCTACTGCTGTGAGCTCCTGTCATAGCACGGCATGACAGGGGGATGCTGTTGATATTTGGAAGGGACTTCTCCCCCAAAACAGCCTAGGCTGCGTCTCTGTACCTCTGGGAAAGGAGTCATAAACTCAACACCTAAGTGAGTTTTCCTACTCTCTGGGCCGTTCCTTTCTCTGATGAAGACAGTGGGTGGGAAGAGTGTGAAGGGCCTCTGAAATGTGCTCTTAGGCAGCCCAGTTTTTACAAAATTCGCTGCGCTGCCCCCAAACCCTTCCTTAAGCCTTAAGTTTAGGCAGATAGGAGCTAGGAGCACACGCGTTGTATGTGTGCACGTGTGCTGCTTCAGGGGCACGGATCTCACCCATAAGAAGCAGGCCTGTGTGGGAGAGGGTGTTGTGTAAGAGGACTAAACATGAACAACTGTGTGCATGTTCATACACATGTGTCTGTGTGACCCTGTGTGTGGTATGGGCCCCTCTAACTAGATTGCAGGCTTTCTCAGCCCCCACTGCTACCCACGTGTCCTTGAGGATGTCTGTCCTGGGTGATTTAGAGGCCCTCCTTCAGCAGGCAGCAGGAGGGGAGCTGGGTCCCATGCTTCTGCCTGAAAGACTTTGGGATTTACAGTTCTTGGCCCCGTGTCTTGGGACAAAGGGATCTCTTTGGTCTCGTGAGGCTCCCAGCCTGACTCTGAACCTGCTCCCCAGATTGGAGGGAGTGTTCAGGGCAGGTTGGAGGCTGTGAGGGGCTATAAACATTCCTGGCCCCAGGGGCTCCCATCTGCCTCTCTAGACTTTCTGGGTGATAGCTAGGGCACCAGGCTTGGAGGTGAGGCTGCCGTGGCACACTCAAATCCATTCCTCCCTGAGATCTGAATAACCAGGAAGGCCTGGGCATCCCTCACTGGAGGAAGGGAAAGGGGGAGGGTCTCTTCCCAAGTCCCAGCTCCTTTGGGAAGTCTGTCAGCATAGCCGGAAGCTGCTCTCACACCTGCTGTGGAAAGGAATAGGAGGGCAGGGACATTTCTGCCTCTGGTATTACACTTAATACACCAACAAGAAATGTTTGAGTGCCTGCAGTGAGCTAAGCTGCCTCATTTCCTCCTCACAACACCTGCAGGAGGTGGGCAATATTATCCCCATGGTACAAAAGAGAAAGCTGAGGCTGGGAGAGGGGAAGTGGTGTGCCCAAGGTCACACAGCAGGAAACTTACAGAGAGCCAAGAGGCAGACCCCCACCTGCTAACTGCAGACACCATAGGCTTTCCTTTCTCTCTGGCCCCTTGCTGTGTGTCAGGCCAACCCTTTTCCTGAAAGATTTGTCCTGGGAAGTAGGTCCGGCAGCCCAGCCGGTGTAACTCTATCCCAATTCCTCTCCAGACTGCTTTCATAACAACACAGGTGAAGTCACCGAGGCCCAGAGCAGGCCTCCTCCCCTTCAACTTCCTGTCAAGGGCCAGGCATCTGAATTTTTCCCCTGTCGTTCTCCTTCTCTCGGGAAGCAGCCTCCCCAGTTCAGACTCACTGGGAGTCACCAGGAGTGAAGGGGGTCAAGTCCAGGGAGAGCCAGCAAAACGCCTTTCCTTACCTTCAGTGCTGTCTTCCATTTTAAAGACATCAGAGCCCAGCACATTTCCACGTTTGGCTCAGAGTAGGGAGCCCAGGGAGGGGGAAGGGGGACAGGACACACAGCCACACCTTCATCCCCTTCTCACATTTTGTTTCTGTTTCCTCTAAAGTTGTCCAATAGAGTCTCAACAACTGTCCCTTCGATGTATTACCGTCACAAAATGCTAAAAAAAAGTACCACTTTTGACACATTGATGTCTGCTCACTTCCGAAGCCCCTTAAAAGACACCGAAGGAACAGAGGAGCGTGAATTCTCAAGGACAAAGAGAAGGGACAGCAGATGAGAAATGACAACCAGATTTGGAAGATGGAAATTAGAGGGCTTGGCAGAATGAGGGAAGATACAACCTCAAAGCCGGCCAAGGGGTTTACTGATGCACCCCAGGACCCAGTCTCAGGACCGGGAGGTCGCTGGGGGTGAATCCTGGACTGCAAACAGCAGGGACTGGCCGGAAATCTGTACGTGGAAAAGTCAAACTTTTTGCATCCCGTCTGCCCAGGCGACACAGCCAGGCAAGGTCCAAGAGAGAAGGTCCCAGAGAAAGACCTCAGAGGGGCGCCTGGGTGGCTCAGCTGGGTAAGCCTCTGACTCCTGATTTCGGCTCAGGTCAGGATCTCACAGGTTGTGAGTTGGAGCCCCGTGAGCTCAAGCCCTGAGTCAAGCTTCACTGTGATTACAAAGCCTGCTTAGGATTCTCTCTCTCCCTTTCTCTCTGCCCTTACCCTCCACCCCCCACCTTTCTCTCTCAAAATACATAAATAAACTTAAAAAAAAAAAAAAAAAAGGACCTCAGATACTGACATCGGAGGTGCCTTAGTCCATCCGGGTTGCTATGACAAAATACCACAGGCTGGTGGCTTATAAACAACAGAAACTTGTCCTTCACAGTGCTAGAGGCTGAAGGTCCAAGATCAAAGGGCCCCAGATTCCCTGCTTGGTGAGGGCCCACTTCCTGGTTCCTGAAGGCTATCTTTTCGCTGTATCCACACGTGGTGGGAAGGAGGAGGGGTCTCTCTCTCTCTCTCTCTCTCTCTCTCTCTCTCGTCTCTTTCCTTGGGGGACTAATCCCACTCATGAGGACCCTACCCCCATCTCCTAATCACCTCCCAAAAGCCCCACCTCCAAACACCATCACTTTGGGGGTTAGGATTTCAACATATGGTTTTGAAAGGACACAAGCATTCGGTCTACAGGAATGCCCCAGGGAGAAGCCAGCTCAGAACTTCCATCTAGAGAGGGTGGGCCAGCACGAGCCCTGCTATACACACTGAATCTCTAGGCCACTCCACCTGTCTCTCTCCCTCAACCATGAACCAAGAGCCAAAGGGTTCTAGGGGTTTTGAAGAAAACCTCCAGTCTGGATGCAGACCAAACCAAACAAGCACAAAGAAAACAGACATCATTTTTTAAAAAAACCTAGTCTGTAATTAATACCCTCGGGGGGCGTAAGAGAAAATTCTGCATCCATAAAGCAAGTAGTAGATGCACTAAACAAAGGAATAATAATCAAAGAATCCGAAAAGGCTCTTGGAAGTAAAAAATATATATACAGGAGAAAAAAATTGTAGAGAAATTGAAGAGTTGGAACCTAGAGTTAAGGACATCTCCTAGAAGGTAGAAGAAAAAGAACTCAGGAGAAAGGCGCCTGGCTGGTTCTGTTGGTAAAACATGTGACTCTTGATCTTGGGGTTGTGAGTTTGAGCCCATGCTGGGTATAGAGATTACTTAAAAGTTTACAACACTTATGGGGCACCTGGGTGGCTCAGTCAGTTAAGCGTCTGACTTCGGTTCAAGTCATGATCTCACGGTTCGTGAGTTTGAGCCCCATGTCGGGCTCTGTGCTGACAGCTCAGAGCGTGGAGCCTGTCTTTGGATTCTGTGTCTCCCTCTCTCTCTGCCCCTCCCCAGCTTGTGCTCTCTCTTTCTCTCTCTCTCTCAAAAATAAATAAAAAACATTAAAAAAATTTTAAAAAAAAGAAGTTAATAGTTGG